GTGGGTAAAATGAGGACCCGGATTGTTGTTGGGGGCGATATGCTGACTCTGTAAACCGCCTCGAGAGGGCTGAAAGCCCTATGAAGCGGTATATAAGTCTCACTGCTATTGCTATGAAAATGGGCCCGTTCTTTGTCGAAAAAAGGGCATGAATAGCCTTTAGGAGCTCCCAGAAGCACTCTAGAAGCCTCCTAAAGGCTCTGCACGGCCATTTTGGTGAAGGGAGCGGGGTTTCAGAAGGAGAAAAAAAATGCTTTATTCAGTGTATAAGACACACCCAAATTTTCAGCCTCTTTTCTGAGGGAAAAAGGTGAGTCTTATACTCCGAAAAATACAGTAGTGGTAAATAAACCACTGTTGATGGTCTTAAAGCTCCGTGTGCTGTGTTATTGCTCCCGGGTGTATCCCGTAAAGCTACGTCACGCTGTCAAAACTCTGACGGGGTGAAAGGGCCTTCAAAGGAACTCGGCATGTCCTTTGAGATTCCGGAACAAGCAGAGATCGAACTTCCCTCCGCACATTTCAGGAGGAGAACGGGGGGTTCTTAGGTGTGTGGGAAGGCCCCCTGTGCTCACCTGGGGGGTCTGCCCAGGGGAATTGTCCTGCAGGATGACCTTCACCCTGAAGAGCGGGTTGGGGCCGGTTTTGCCGTCGCCGTTGATGGCCCTGGAGAGCTCCATCAGGGACCACTTCACGTTGAGCCGCAAGGCGTCCTCCATCATCCGATTCATCCGGACGGTGTAGTTGAACCAATGCTGCTGAACCTGACGGGGGAAGGGTTGGGGAAGAAGGGGGTGGGCTGGCCTCAGATCAAGGGGCAACGTAGCTCCTCCGATCGCGCCAGGCCTTCACTGAGATGCCAGGGGGCACCACCCCACCGGCTCTCCAACCACCAAGTCTCAGTGGTCACTCCATTCTGGACCTTGGGAATCCTGTACCGTGGAAGACAGATGCGAAAAAGACAAGGGGCGAAGAACACGAGGCAGACCCAGAAGGAGATGGAGAGACAGCATCAAAGGAAGGGAGGAGGAAGAGGAGGAGGAAAGGAAGATGAGGAGTAGGAGGAGGATTAGGAGAAGAAGAAGAAAAAAAGGAAGATGAGGCAGAGAGTAGAAGGAGGAGGAGGAGGAAAAGGAGAAGAAGAAGAAGATAAGGCAAAGGAAGAGGAGAAAAGGAAGATGAGGAGGAGGAGGAGGAGGAGGAGGAGAAGAAGAAAAAGAGGCAGAGCAGTAGAAGGAGGAAGGGGAGGAGGAGGAGGAGAAGGAGAAGAAGAGGCAGAGGAGGAGGAGAAAGAGAAGGAGGAGGAGAAGAAGAAGAGGAAGATGAGGCAGAGGAGGAGAAGGAGAAGGAAAAAGAAGGGAGAAAGAGGAGGAGGAGAAGAAAGAGAGGAGGAGGAGGAAGAGTAGGAGGAAGAGTAGGAGGAAGAGTAGGAGAAGAATTAAGAAGAAGAGGAGGAGTGGAGGAGAAGAGAGGAGAAGGAGAAGAAGAAGAATGAAAAAGGAGAAGAGAGGAGAAGGAGAAGAAAGGAGGAGGAGGAGAATGAAAAAGAAGAAGGAGAAGGAGAAGGAGGAGAAGGAAGAAGGCGAGAAAGAGGAGGAGGAGAAGAAAGAGAGGAGGAGGAGGAAGAGTAGGAGGAAGAGTAGGAGGAAGAGAAGGAGAAGAATTAAGAAGAAGAGGAGGAGTGGAGGAGAAGAGAGGAGAAGGAGAAGAAGAAGAATGAAAAAGGAGAAGA